TGAATGTAAAGCCTGTGTCACTAACAAGTCTTGGAGAAAGATTTGAAAACGAGTAATTCCCATTCATGTATTCCTTCCATTGTATGCTTTTGTATTAAATATCTTGCAGCCATAAAGCAGGTCAAGTAAAAGCAGACCTAGACTGTAAGTGCAATCAATGAAGGTGTTACTTTGAAGGAAATTTTCTCGGCTCTAAGGGATGATTAAGCTGAAAAAAAAAATGACTGTGTTAGAGGATTCCTAAATAGCGACTCTTCTATCGAACCGAGACACCCCCAGTTTCCAGTAATGAAAAGAAGTAGGAAATGTTACCATTTATGTGTGACGGTGATGAAAGTTCGGATCTTATTAGCCGAGGCTTACACGGAGAAACTGAAAAGCTTTGGGGAGAGCAAACATTTCCTATCATGTAGGGTTCTGTAAAAAAATCTTCTATGGCCTTTTCAAGAAGTCTCCTGGCTGTTTTAAATTCAGGGGTTTGACCAGGTGAAGGCATAATCTATAACACTGTCCTCATCACAGAGTTTCTCTCCTGCTTCCTGGTGAATAGATTTTGTATCCCTTGTGTAAGAAGGGTTTCTCAGTCACAGACAAGGGTGCTACTATTCTGCTCTGCTGTGGCTTACAAGCTCTCTCTGTCACTGTCACGTCTCCTCTTCACTAACTCATCTCGAATTCTGCCTGTTATATACTTCTCTCCAATCTTTCTGCCTCCTTGTCTGTTTTATATCCCTCAAATGTATATACCTCCTCACTAAGATATCCTTCTTTTTCTCTAACTTCCTTTTGATTATTCCTTTCCCAGCTACTTGTATTATCTCGCATCACGGTGCTGTATATCTGCGCTCCACCCTCGTGTCTTCCCAGCTTCATTTAACCTACTTGCTTTTCATATTTTTTCCTCCCATAATTTCGTCTTTGACAGACTTACAGCGTGTTTTGTTCCACTTTTGTCATCCATCACCTGCTCGTCGATCTCATCATCAATCTTTTTTTCACAACATTCAGACTGTTCCTTTACAATTCCTGTGTTCATGTGTTAGTGGCAGTCCCTGGATTTAAATGGAAGGCAAAGCAAGACTTGTGTACAAGTGCATGCTTTGCCTTTGAAATCCATATTAGAGCCAATTTATTTAATGACTCTCTGTTTTTGCATGTCCCCAGGCTCACGTCCCCGTGACTGTGGTGATCTGTACGCCAGTGGACAGAGAGAAGATGGCATCTATTCTGTGTTTCCTATTCACCACCCTTCAGGCTTCCAGGTCTACTGTGACATGACGACAGACGGTGGAGGCTGGACGGTGAGTCAGAGAAAAACACACTTTTGTATTACAGTGAGCACACACACACACACAGCTTTTAACCCCTGTGTGTCTCTCCCCGAGGGAGCAACATTCACTCTTTTGGTGCGCTAGGGTAGTAATCAAGATGTATTCAGGGAATACAAGGTACTAGAAGGTCATTTTATTAGGTCTGCTTTTTAAAATCTGCATGTATGAACCGATTACCTAACCCCCCCTACACACACACACATACACACACACACACACACACACACAAAAGAATGATTTTCGCAAACAGGAATTTTTCTTTTCTGGTACATTGCTTCCATTTTAGTCAGAGTTACCAAGGACACAAGTTCATGTACAGATTGTCAGAGAACCTGCTGCGGTTACGGTTGTACGGCAACAGGAATCCCATCTATCACTCTACGTTATCAAAGTTTTATCAAAGAAGAGCAAAGAAAAGAAATCTTAAATACATTTTTCAAGTGGGTCTCGTTGAAAACAGTTTTTTTTTTTAGTTTTTTTTTCCACACTCAATTTTTATGGATAGAAGCATTTTTAGGTTGCCCAGCAGCCTGTCTGTACTGTTGTTGTAGATGCAGTGTCTTGGATGTCTTGAGGGAAGTTCTGCAATATTTTTTTGGACAAGGATGGACTTATTAAATGTTGCTGGTTAAATATAAAGTTAACAGTTACTGGACAAAGCAATGTGTGCAACACCTTGAGATTTTTTCAAATTTGGGAAAGTCTTTACTTAAAGAAAAAGAGGGCTGATGCCTATCCCAGCTGCCCCCCTTAATTCTTTATGATTTCCTAAGGAGTCAAAATTCCTTCTAATTTTGTTAAAGTGGTCTTGTGCAATAGTTCTCCACACTTTCTGAAGACCTTTCAAAGTCTTTCTTTGGACATTACCTGCTTTTTAAATTACTCCAGTAATTGTACTTGACCTTTTTGTTGTTGGTGTTAGCTACTTAACACTGATCTAAGAAGCATTTAAGCATAAAAACATCACCTAACTTAAGGGATGAACCACTCTTGTGCGTACACATAACATACAACAGCAAAGAAACTATTTAAATTGGATTGTATCTTTAGGTACTTTTTACTACTGCAAAAACACATAATCTCTTCCCAGTTTATTAGCTGAATCTCCTAAATATGACAAAGGTAACGTAGTTTGACAGGTATAAGATAACATTTTTGCACTAACAAGCTGATTCCCAAAGACCTATTAGCTGAGAAATGTCTTCGCATGATTTACAATGTGTCCTTAAAAAATCTGAAAAGAGTTGGAGACAAAATATGATGTGGCAGTTCTAAAAGAAACTAAGTACAGCAGATGAACAGGATCTCACGATCATGTCCATAAGAAACAGGAGAAAATCCAGCAAAGACCTGAGACATAACTTGATAGAAGCATCGGGCTCTTTGGCTGATCCATCTACTTTTCACTGAAGCCTCATTAGAAATGGTGTCAGTGGAAGGGTGGCTGTCAAGAAACCATTTTTAAGGAAGTAAAACAGGGGGAAAAGGCTGACATATGCCAAATTACACAAGAACTGGACTCAAGATTGTTGGTACCATGTTTTATGGAGTGATGGATAATGGGTGGAATTATGAACACAGAAAAGTCTGATTGGCAATGGCTTCATTTTTCAGCATGACAAGGAAGTCAGAAGAACCCACAATGGAACAATATGAGTCATGGATTGGCCTCGTCAGAGCCCACCCCTCAACATTATTATTAAAATTCGAACAAAAAGGCAGCAAACATCCCTTAAAAAAGGCTTTGAAGGTCTTTAAGAAGCCTGGAGAACTGTTCCTGAAGACTACTTGAAGAAAACTGCCTAAGAGACTTCGCACTCTGCTTTATATATATATCAGCGTATATTTGCACAGTACTGTAGCTCAAGAATTCATACAATTATTGGCACAAAATTTCACATAGATACATGTCTAAACTCTGGTAAAATTATGAAATTGTGACATTTTATATCCAAAAGTATTGTCTAATTACTAAAACAGAGGTTTCCTGTTCATGACTTGCTTTTAATTTCAAAAACATAATATTTGTGAGTCATAATTTAGGTGACAATATCAAATGAATAAAGCAGAAAAGGAAAGCCAGTGTTACAGGGGCAGTCACAGCAGAAGATGATGACACCTTTTGTTTTGTAAATGCTCAGTAAAGGTTAAGTAAGTGCTGTCATCATGAGTAGAGATTCAGATACTGTTTTGCTTTGCCCGTGATGAGATTTCTTGTAGAAAAAATACAAAGAAAGCATATTACAGCATCTGACTTTATGCGTAATTCCATTTGCTGTGCATCAAACTCACCGGAAAAAAATGTTTTCATTATAGCTGACAAATTCCTGCACTGATTGTGTGTTTTTCGCTTTGTAATTCTTGCAATCTTGCCTTTGTACAGCAATATTTTGTATTTAATTAAGAAAAAAAAGAGATATTTTTGTTTCCTAAGAATGTGGTTTTTCTTTCATCAAATACATGTCAGCTGTCTGGCCTTGTTAAAGCAAACATCACGGTTTAAGTGAGACTGTATACTGGATGCACTGCATCTTTGGGGAATGAAAGACAAGCGAGGTGAACAAACATTTACACAGGGATGTTTGAGGTTATATTTGGAAGCGTGGTTTAGATGTATCTCACACAAAACACACACGGAGGCACACGCACACACTCTTACTGGTTAGAGCCATTTATGTCTATTTGTTCTAAAGCATAATGTAGCAGCTGTCAGGAAAGCAGAGCAGTTTTTAATGAAGGACTAAGACTCTGAAACTGAAGCTGCACAATCCAATATTTTGATATATAATAGGTTGTGATACTTGTAAGTAAAACCAAGAGCCCAGTTTTTCAGCTCTGTCCCATGTATTTGAATGGATAGTTAAAAAAATCTATTCAATGAGCTGTTAAAGTAAAAGATTTCTGCTTCTCGCAAAGTAACATAAGCAGCGTTAAAAGTCTTCTACATCCTTTAAGGGAATAATTAAATCTCTGCCATTTATAAAGGTTAGGGTGCAATGCTGCCTTGTTTATTTTTTATTTTTTTAATGGATAGTTAAAACTCCTTGAAGGCTTTCCTCCTGAATGTGTGCAGAACTTTCAAAGGTTTAAAGGAGAGCGCACAGTTTCAAACCTCCAAACTACTTTGCTTGCAGTCTGTGGCTGCAATCACAGCTATATTGTGTGCATTTTACGCACTAATTGACCGTTTATACTGGGGGACGTATTATGCCGCTACAGTCATTATGCACATTGTCAAGCTTAATAATGAAAAGAAGCACAGCAAAGGCAAATGTAGTCTGAAATAGGTATCCTACTATACTGCGTCTGAGTTTGCTTTCCACATCCGCGACAGTGACATAAGCACATATAAAATATCAGCTCAAGTCGCTGTTTAATCGGCATGTCAGTGAATTGTGCGTGCATGTGTGTGCACTTGTAAACCAGTGACTAACTGCGTGAGATAGGCAAGGTCGTACCCTCCTATCATCAAATAAAGCCAGACTGTCAGAGTGACAGAGTGCTTAGCCCAGCATGATGGAATAGAGCTACATACCAGCCTGTCAGTGGATAGCAGCTTGTATGCGTGTGTGTTCGTGGGAGGGTGTATGTGTTCGTGTGTCTGTGCATGAATTACTGTTATTAAAGCGAGCACACTCCCACAAAAACAGTTTCTGAACACGAACGTGCTTTCCTGTCAGAGTTCCCGTCCGTTTTCCGAAAGATGCAGCAGTGTCAAAGTGTGCAGACTTTGCGTATGGTCCTATAAAAGGATTAACGGCTCCGATTGAGGTGATAATATAGCAGTTACTGATCCGGCCTGGTGTGTTGAGCTGATTGTGATAACGCTTGAGCCTCATTAAGAGATCAGTGTGGTGTGATCCAACTGGGGCAGGTAGGGAGAGGAGATGCATGGTGAGTTGAGTAGCTTAGTGCCTGTCTGACGGCTGAGCTTAAATAAGGAATGAGCCATATGCTGCCACCTCATTAGCATACTGACATACTGTAGCACTGTTGCAGAGGCTGCTGCAGACACACTGAAAGATGAGCAGGTTACTCGCAGAAGGGAGGGAACAGAGGAGAGCGAGTGGGACTCGGAGGAGACAAAGAAGGGAGTGGGCTTGATGAAAACATCAGAATCCAAAAGGGAGGAAGAGTGATAACAAGGATGCAGGGATTTAAAAAAAATAATACCATAAGTGAAAAGGAATTAGATCGCTCCCCGTACTTTGAAATGGATAATTCAAATGCAATCAAATGTTTCTGTTCTGCAGTATTTGCAGTGAAAAGGTGACCTTTGGGGAGCCTTGTTAATTGTACAGCTGTCTTACATAGATTTAGATGTCAATCAGCAGTGCTGTAGCATCAGTCAATGATGACCTTTAGGAGAATGTGTTTTCAGCGTCTGTTCACTTGTCTGTACCTTAATACAGCAGACAAATATGTTCACATAGTTTTAGCATTTGGAGGGCGTTAATGTGTGGGTTCGCGTGGACGATTTCTGTTTCATTGTTCTAATAGCACCCTATAAGATTTGCCTTTAGAAAAAAGGGCAAAAATTAGAGACCACCAGCTGTTTTAAATGGCAGCATGTTCAAAGAAAATGTGTTCCATAATGGCATGCATGACTCATAATCAGACCAAACCAACACAGCCACCCGCAAAATCCACTATTTCTAACATCACGAATCTCAGATTTGCTTCTTTTTTTTTAAGGGGTTAACTTCTTCTGAAACTACACATTAATAATAACACATAGTTAAATCCTAGTGTCTACTTTTTCCATCAAGCTGTCCACACTATGAATGTGTGATTTTTGCAATAATCTGGTTATGAGAATAAAATATTGGTACTGTGTCAAACTACAAATATGCTGTGATAATATTAGGATACACATATAATTAATTATAATTATAATTAATAGAAACAATTAGGATGGAGTTAACTGCAAAACAGAAATGGGAGATAATTAAAATCAAAGAGGATAATTA